GGGCGCTGCCCCTCTGGTGCTCCCCTGCCGCGCGGGCGATGGATGTTTCCAGGGACTTCTTCGGTAAGCTGCGCGCCCTAGCCCTCACGCTAGACAAGGAGGCGAAGCAGCTCGAGCGGGCCCTACGCGGAGAGGACCCGGGTACGCGCAGGGCTCGCCTCCTCTCCTCCCCGCGGCCGCCGAGTCCGCCGAGGCCTCTCCGCTCCTAGGGCCGCAGCCCTGCTCCGGGGCTCCTGCTGGCGTGTCCGTCCCAGCCCCAGGCAGCAGGACCTCGAGTTGGGAAGGTGATCTGGAGGGATGCTCCCAGTGACTCGTGGTGATGGGCGTCACGCCTGGGCTCTGAGGCCGATGGCCCTGCTGGGATAGCCGGGGGTAGGGGGGTAGCCATTGTTCCCCAGGAGTCCTTGATGATTTGGGTTCCCGCCTGCGGTTTTCCCCGTGTGCTCCTCTGGGCATGCGGAGATGGGCCTTTGGTGGGCTGATGCGTCCGGGGGTGGGCCTGGGAGTACCTCGGCAGGGTATTATCTGGGCTTCTGTCGTCTCTCTGAGCTCCTTTGTGGGTGTGGAGGTGAGCTTTTGTCACAGGGAGAAACGGAATGAAACGGGAATCACATTCTTGCTTTTACTCCTTTTCATGGACTGAGACAGGGACACGCATTTGCAGGGCTTGTTCTCCCTCTGTACAGATAGCTCAAGCTTCTAATTGCATTTATCTCTGTGCTGTGTCTTGTCACGTAGCAGGTGTCCTCCTTTACGCTATTTGCATTACCTTGATTTCCAGTGCAAGAAGTAATGACTGCTGCATGTGTAAGTGAACAATACTAACGTCTGCCCACGTGCAAATAAGGAAGAAGAATTCAGCTTTTTGTTGGTGTATGTTTTTCAGTGGTGTCTATACGCGCTTTTTTCAATTTTTATTATTATTTCAAGTTCAATCTTTTTGAGGATAAAAACCTAGTATAAATAATCCTTGACAGCCCAGGGACCTACCTGTTGTACCAACATCTGCTATATGTTCATTTCTACAATATTAGCTGCAACGGTAAAATGGAAGCCTGTGCAGATTCTTTGTGTGGTTTAACATACTGTGCAAATTGCAATCTTACTCTGTGCAAGGTACCCAATAGGAACTAGTTTCTCTTTGGTTTTCTCTATGACTCTTTCTCTAACATATGACTCCAACATCTCTAATACAGGAGATTACGTTCTGACGTAGAATGTACTTTTGTGCTAAAATACTGATACCCCCTTTTTCCCTTTCCAAACATTTTTATGTGAACATGCATATCAAAGACTATGAGGATGAATCTCCAATAAGAGTCTTACATGACCTCCATTGTGAAATCAAGACTCTGAAGGTAACATCTTAACTCACTTCCTCCTTGAAAAACTAGGGGAGGGGGTGTTCCGTAAACTTATGGTTCTGTTTTGACCGTTAAGCCACAATACAACTTTGTTAGTCAGCAGTTCTGACCCTTCTTTTTATTCATTTACATCTAAGTCCTCATAATGGCTGTAGATGTTGAGGTAGTGCCCGAAAACTTGTGGGTGACTTAAAGTAGGTTTAACAGTGCTTATTAGTTTGCAGTTGCTGTTGTCGCTCAGATCAGCAGGGGACAAAGGTAACAGGGAAGTTGTAGCTGTGCCAAGGTGTAGTTGTAGGGGAGCAGGATTCAGGAGCAGCAGCTCCCTGCGGAAGAGGTATGCTTGTTTGTGTTCATTGACTAGCACTTAGAATAAAGAAAAATCTTCACGGAAGTTTCATTACCTTCAGCCATTCAGTTAAACTTGTGAATAATGTTCTTTATTTCTTTGTTAGAAGTAGGAAAAATGGGTTATAGAAATGAGCAAGTGTACAAATAATTGAGAGGTAAGCTAGGATATAAACTTGAGGTTTACCATCAACTCTGCACTAATTCTTTGTACGTGAGGAGTAAGTGTCGAAACTAATTGCTGTTATCTCATTTTTATGGAGTAAAAGCATATATTTTTGTTTGAGAGGTTGCCAATAAGTAGTTATCATACTGTGAACTGTCATCTTAGTTTAACTTTTCTAAGTTTTTGTACACTGATGCCCTACATGTTCCTGACATTTTGTAACCTAGTTTTCAGGTATAGGTGAGACCTAAATTTGCTGCTTATCCTCATGTGAATTGAAGTTCAATACTTATTCCCAAAACACTTAATGTGTAAACAACTACCATGTGGTGATTTGAAAACCAATATTTCTGTGTTTCCCTGCCCCCAAAGGAAGATGTTAATGCCAGTCTTGGTAAGAGTTGCTCTGAAAAACAAGCAATTCATGAGTTTATGAAGGCAAGTGAAATATTGATGCAAAGAAATGCAGCAGATCTTGGAAAAATAAAAGAGCTGTTCCAGAAATACGGCTACAAACCACATGTCAAAGACTCTACAGGTAATATTTCTTGGCAATACCGTATGTGAAGACAAATGTGATTTTCTCAAATGTTTCTCTTTAGCTATGTGTATCTCTCTTTTAATTAAGAGATCAAGTACATCTATGTTACTTGCTTTGCAATAATATCCAGAGGGTAAAAAATTCTGTTGTGATTGGTGTCATAAGAATAAACCAAAATACAAAAACTTGGATCTCCTGGCTTGCTTTTAAGTTAGCGTGTGGGGTTTTTTTGGTTGGTTTGGTTTTGGTTTTTTTCCCTCCAGGAATAGTTGTATTTGGAAAACATGTTAGCAAACATGTTTTCATAACCCAGAGGATTACGCTGCTTCAGCTTCTCATGCATGGGAAACTATTGTAGATATATCTAAATTAGTTCGTATTCATATGTGGTGATTCCATTAACTTAAATCACTATAGAGAAAATACTAAGATAATGTGCTCCACAGCACAAATGGGACAAGAGAAGCATGTACAGGGATTAGGTGACATGTGGCAAGCAGTAGTAGCTTGATCATCGGACATAGGAGAGGTCCTTAATCCAGCCAGAAAGTGCGCACGCACCTGTGTGAAAAGTCCAGGTGTGCCAAATGAGCGTAAAACCCTACAACTGTCAGTACTGCACATACCCCTTTTGGTATCAAGGGCCCAATCAACCTTCAGGAAGCCTTTGGCAGCACACACCTTAACCTTCCCCTGAGGGTTATCAGTCATTACACAAAACAAAATTGTGGTTGTGGGCCTTACTCACCTCTGAGTTAAGCTACTACAACTCTTTTACTAAGATATGGCAGAAAGCTCTGATTTTATGGTACTTTCCTTCCTGTCCTCCAGACAGGGCTACGAGGTTAATTTTATTTTTTAAGATGTATTTTTAAGCTAAGTGTATCTGAATATGTAGTACTAATACACATAAAGTAATGCCTCTCCCATGTTGTTTTAACATCGCCCCCTCTGCTTCTTACATCATGCAGAAATTCAGAAACGTTTCAGGGTGTTTCAGTTGAACTACAGAAACGTACAAATTACATGTTTGCTTTTTTCTGCAGTGGGCTCTTGTTCTCTAGAAAGCTACCTTCTTTCACAAGTTTTTAGTTGCTGCTTCATAACCTTTCAGAAAAACAATATTGTTTTTCTGAAGAATGAGCATCGAGTACTGTGTACAGCCTTTGCTTTTTCCCCAAAAACATTTTCAGTTCTATACAGATTTTGTTTTCATTGTCACTTATGTTGTACATTTTTAATGAATTGCCCCTCATGCACTGAGATGAAAACAAATAAATGTATTTAAGATTAACACTTCTTGCCTGCTCCATGCAGGGAGATGAATTCTATTAAAAATACACTTGTGTAAAAATATTTCCATTTCATTTTTCCTAGAAATAATGTTTACTAATAGAGCGAAATTCAGTACATGTGTGACCTGTATTATAAATATAGCTTAGCCTGATATGAGCTTTTGATATCTGTTGTAGCTTCAGGTTCAGTGCTTTAAAATGAAAGACGAAATCTATTTTTTACAATAATAAATAAAAAATTTTGAATACTGATGGGGGGAGTCCCAACTTACTTTATAAATTCTTAAACCAGAAACTTCTGACATAATTTTTTTTTAATTACTTTTCTCAAACAGAAGAGAAGGAAGAAGATAAAAGTGATTCAACAGTGTCTGTCCAGAATAAATCTGATGAAGAAAAAGCAGACGATGTACCTCATCTTCCTTCTTGTACCGAGAAGCCGCTGGTGCCCAAAGACCCCCTGCGTAACCCCCAGCTTTCTGATTTTGGTCTTTCACAATATGCTTTCTCCAGGCCTTGGAGTGCAGTAAAAGCACAACAAGCAACAAATGCCAATCAAGAAAATTCAAAGAACAAGACTCCACTAAAAACACAGGCCCCCTGTATTTTGCCCAAAACACCAAAATGTATGCTAAAGATGGATGATTATGAGTGTGTAACACCAAAACTTGAACACTTTGGCATTAGTGAACATACCATGTGTATGAATGAAGATTATACAATGTCACTTATTCGTAAAACTACTCAGACGAGCAAGAAGTAAGTAAATTACTTCAGATTGTTTCTCTACTGAATTTTCTGTAGTTTCTTCTTGCTGTACTAATTTCTTGCTGCTGTTGCCCTTCTCTTTGTCTTTAAGCAGGTGATACGTTATTATCTCCCAGCTGGTTAGTCCTGTGTCTTTATTCAACTCTCTACATGTCTTTTCATCTACCCTTTGCAGTGCAAAACGCTGCCGTGAAACACATCTCTGATATACTCCCTCCCTTGACTCCACCACAATAAGAATCTTCTGTACAGAGAAGGCGAAAATGCACAGTATATCTGTGTTTGTTTTTTTTTCCTTAACCTTGCATTTGGATTTGAGGACATGTTGTCTGCACTGGATATTACATGGCCAATTTAAAGGTTTCAAAAGCTTTAGGAATATAGACCTGGAAAAAACCTCTAAAGCATTCAGTAAAATGCCCCATTGTAGAAATGGTGTATTATCTCTTAGGTTATCCAGCCTGATTTTATGAAGAGTTAGCTGTCTTTGTTTCAGTCTTCTGTTGAAAAGACATCTCCAGATTTTCACTGTTCTAATTAAAATCAAGGAAAAGCATTTGCAGGAGTGACATGTAGAACATCTTAGCAGTAGAAGAGTTTTTCTATACTTTTAAGGTAATGTAAAGGTAGTTAGATCATGTTTTTATAGTTAGTATTAGCAATACGTTCAATTTTAAAAGCTGACAAAAGTATTTAAAATAAACTGTTCTGCAGCTAAATATTTGCTATTTAGTGAAATTGTTGAAAAAAACCAAAAACCATATTCAAAATAAATTGTGGAAATAATTCAAATTTTTTTTTTAAATCCCTGATATTTGCAACATAGGCACAGGTGTGAAGTTCTTCAGAACCATGCCAACTTAAGTGACTTTGTCCCCCAAAGATCCAGTTCACTGCAATGGTTAAATTTGGAGTGTTTTTTTAATTTTAAGATTACTGGGGGTGGTGTGGGGGCTGTGAAAAGATACATTTTCTTTTAAAATAGTTTTGGTATTTTTTCCCTTTGTATAGTTATATAAATACTGTAATGTCTATAAAGCTCTAGAATATTTGAATTCTAGTAACAGGAAAACTGTTACTGAATCCTGAAAGATATTAATTAAAAAAAACGTTGCCTCTCAAATAATATTTTGAAAATAGTTTCATCTTATTGGACAATTTAAGTTCTTTTGATATCTGTAATTTTTTGTGGTTTTGTACTACTTTTCCTGTTTAATAAGAACTGTTTTAAATGTGATCTTCAGCTTTAATTATGGCTGTAATTTATAAACGGATACATCCACAAATGTAGATTCTATTCTGTGGCTTCTAGTGAAACAATTAGACAGTCCAGTAGCAATGTTTATATATAATTTTTTAAAAAAAAAATCACACTAGCAGTCTTCCATACTTCTAGTGACAATATTGAAATTCTGTAGAGAATTAGTTATAGTATGATTGCTCCTTAACACATCATCATAATTAATGACCAAAACAGATGGATAGACACTAATTGTGACTAAAGCTGCAAATAGATTCAGAATTAGTGGCATATGTGAGAGGTCATGACATTAAGTTCTTAGAGTTAAAAATGTTGTGTAACTGTCTTTTAGCTTATTTGTTTCATTTCTTTTGCAACATGAAGTTAGAGTTAGCTTGCGGTTTGATCAGAAAGGTTGAACCAATTCAGCAGCTTGTTACCTCCAAAAAGCACTCATCTCACCTCTTAGTGAGAACGCTCGGCATGTTAAATGGGCAAAACACTAAGCCAGCAAATAAAAAAAACAAAGAAATTAATAAAAGAAAGATTTTTTTTTTTTTTCCACTGGATAATGGGCAGAATCTCTTCCCTGAGGATCAGATAAGCAAAAAAACTAGTACAAACGAGGTAGCCTTATACGTGTGGTTTCCAGGTACAAAGACAGGTAATAATGCTGACTTTCTTGGAGACTGCCCTACCCTTTCATATACCTTGCACCTGTGTCAGCCAGGTCTTGTACCTAGCTGAAATCTGTTTAGCAGCTGTGCATTGTCTGAAAACCCCTTTAAAAATTCACCTCAAAGTTCTTAAATATTTAGCAGACCTCATGTCCTCCAACTTTGTTTTTCACATTTTCAGTTTTGAAGCAGGTGAAAAGAACAATATACTTCAATGCACCTACTACAAAACTGAAACCAAAAGTAATTAGGAAAGAAAAAAAAAAAAAAGGAAAGTGCCTGAACAAAAGTGTTTATTGTACTTGTTCTTCTCCAGTGTAAAAAACTAAAAATCATATGGTTTCAGGTATCTATAATACTTCCAAGGCAGAACTGACTTGAAAGATTATCTTTTTTTTTTAACCTCAAAATTTGAGATGTGTTCATCTAAGTAAAATATACTGCCTCAACTGAATATATGGCCTCAAATGGTTTGGGGTTGCTGGTTTTGGTGTTGTTTTGGTGGTTTTTTTTTAGCTTAGCCTTTTTGTACAGAAGCTCTGAATCTGGTTCTCATAGTTAAGGTAACTTTTTAAATATTTAAAATCATTTTCTTATAGAGACACTTTTGTGTAGAGTTTAGTTTAGGTAAGCTTCTACTTTTCGTCTCGTATTGTCTCTTAACTGCCTACACCCCTCTTCCATTAGAATATCTTGGATATTAAAAAATAATTTTAAAAAATTCAGTTTCCAGTTTTGTGGAATTGATATTAAATGGCTTTTCACTCTGAAGTCAGCTAGTGATTAACATAAGTAATCTTATTAAAACTTTAAAATTGATTAAAAATCTTAGTGTTTCACAATAACGTTACTAGGTTAAGAGCCAAAAAGATTTCCTCTTCTTGTTTAGAATTTTGTAGGCAACAGGCAATTCGAAATAGACCGTACCCCTAACACAGAACTGATCATCTCGGACAAAGAAAATTGATCCTACCCTGGACACCTATTTGTTTTGTTTTGGGGTTCTTTTTAAGGCCTCAGATTGAAATCTCAGTGTATTTGATAATTGTGGGTGGACTGAACATTTGCATGCTACGAATTGCTGCAGTAGAATCATAGATGAAAATTATCTATGAGAAAATTATCTCTGAGGAAATTAATTTTTGACTTGCATGTTGATGAACAAATACTAGAGAAGTGGTCAGGTTGACAATATTCCTTTAACTGTGATTTCTTCATATTACTTGAGAGCTAATTGAGGGGTTTGGTTTTCAGGTTGGTTAAAAAAGGTGATCATGAAGTGAATGTACCAGAAATGACATCCAGGGAAATCATGGTTACTCCTGGGCCAAAATCAAAAGTGACAGCCGAGAAAGGTAAGTTAAAAATATGTGAAATAAATATACATATGCATTTTTTACATCATGCATGTGTAAACGCATTGTAAACACATGGTAAACTTTTAAACTGTATTTCTTGTTAAATATAGTTAATTTGCGCCCAGTCATTGTACGAGTAGTAATGTCTAGAAAATTAAATGTTGGTGGCTACTATGGGAAGGTTTCTCACTTCAGTATAAATCTTTGCTCATTCTTCTACTCATCCATCTAGAATTATGCGGAGGGATCCATCATTTTGTAACTGCAACTTATCCTTATTTGCAATAAAAATGCTGTTTTGCCAACTTAGCCCTCTTTTTTTTCTGAGAATATCCATTAGATCCGTTTAAAGATAGGAAAGAGGCTAACAAGAGTAGTGCTAAAACTTCTTTGAGAAGAGATATGATATGTTCTGTTGAAAATGTGTGAAGATTTTGGGACATAGTGACAATTGAATATACGAGAAGCTAAAGCAATGTTGATGTAAGTTGGGATTTTTCAGTTATATTCAGTAGAGGGACTGGATTTATTCTTTTTTTGCATTTGCTGCTTTTATGGAATTCTGTAATTTGGATGGTTGTTCATAGTAAAACTGTCAACTAAAATGATACAGGTGTTTTAGAACATGCAAATCTGTCAAAAGCTGATGGACTTAGCAAACTAAACTGGGGGCATTGGAACTGATAGTATTTTAAATTTATATATATGCGTGTGTATGTGTATATTTTTTTTTTTTTATTCCCCCTGCCTTAATTTCAGCAGCTGACTGGATGGCTTCTCCTATGGTACTTGTGTTCTGTACTCCTGATGTGAAAATCCCTTCCAGAACAAAGAGTACAGTATTACCAGGGTCACCAGAGACAAATGAACTGCCTCTTCCCAGTTATACAGGAACACCACAGTTTCCAAATTTTAAAACAAGATGGCTAGAAACAGAAGCTAAGGTAGTAAACACCAATTATGTACGTTTGCACATGCTTTTTTTACCATAAGCCATTTTTCAAATGTCAGTTTGGGATTCTTTTCCAATACTACTTTTTCTTATGTCATTGTAGATGATCTTTCTGATGGTAATTTTGTAAGAACATTTATTAAATACTTTACCTAAGATAAGTAAATTAACTGAAGGCATTTAATTCCTCTTTTGCAGCAGGTAAAGCAGGGGGGAAAGATTGAGTCGGTGACAAAGAATGATGCAACAGATAAACAATACATAGAAGATAGCGTTCCTTTTGCTGTGAGCTCTGATGAGTATCTTAAACATTTTGGAGACCCTTCTCCTCCCAAAATAAAAGACTATGACCAGTTACTCAATACTCCTCCACCTCCAGAAATAACAAGGATACCAGACGATGTTCTACAGGTTAGCTAATATAAGTTCTTTTTCCTAAATAGTTTTAATATCAAAATAGTAAAATCAAAAGGGCTTAGTTCTATCAAATTTTGTTCTTCAAAAAAAAAGAGTTCTCTGCTACTTATTAAAAATGTATAAACAGTAACCCTGTTTTGAGTTCTTAGATAATTCTTTTTATTCCCTTTTAATGTTTCCTGTAGATTCTGTCCAAGTATAATCATCAAGTAGACTCTTGTAAAGGCAAGAAAATGGAGACCAAGGCAGGAGATACTACAAGATATGAAAGTGATTTCACTGATTATTGCAACAAAGAGAACAGGTATGATTACATTTTACAAATTTGGTTAAGTAATTTAATTTGGAGGAGCTATGAAGATGCTTTAACACATTTAGAAATTCATGCAGCTGTTTGCTCTTCAGCTACCAAAATAGCTCTTGTTACTGTGACTGAATAACTATTCTTTCACGCGGTATCTGACTGCCTTTTTGTAAAGAACAAATACTATAACAGATTGTGTGTCTGAATCCTCCCAACTTTAAAAAAATAAATAAATGACGGTAGAGTTTTGCTGGTTTATCTATAGGTCTATGTTGCTTTGTGGCAATCGAAGCACCAGTGAATGCTTTCTTCTGAGTAAATTTAAGCAATAAAACTAAGGAATTGGAGAAAACTATACAAGTGACACGACCGATTTCATGGTCGTTTTGGCAAAGACAAAGTTCTTTGAAATGCAAAGCCACATTATGAACAATGTGTGAGATTAAATTAGCCTACAGTAAGTATGAGTAATCTTTGAACAATGGAATAATAGCTTTAAAAAGAACTCGATACGTTTGAATAGAAAGAAGTTTTTGTGACAACTTGATCAAGTGTCGATATTGCTGATTCAGTGTAAAGTGTATTACGCTTGTTGATTATCTATTAAACTTGGGGTCAGTACAGATTATTTAGGTAAGAGGTACAAGGAACATGTATGGAGTCAAGTAATAATCACAGCAACCCAGAATGAGACTGATAAAAGTAGGTATCTTAGTATACTTGGAGTTGGAATCCATTTGAGTAATCAAATAGAGCAAAGCTCTTACTTTAGCTGACCTTTCTTTTTTTCTTGTCAAGATAATTCAAAAAAAAGTTTTCAATGTTTGTATCTTCTGCTAATTCAAAAGATAATTGAGATAATAAGTTCATGAACTCTACTGGATGTAATTGCAGAGGATATCCTGGATTTTTCAAGCCGAACATCTGAAATCAATCTGAAGACCATGTTGAGACTCTCACATTCATGGATCTTATCACTGAATTGCAACAAGCTCAAAAAGCAAAAGAAAATACTGGTGGGAGGAAAGAGCCATACAAAGGAAAAGTTGCTTTTTAATGAAGAAAAATTATTTATCCATGACATGGATAAACTCATTTGAACTAACAATTTGCGTTTAATTTTTTATTGAAGTTATTGGCAAAGTATATTGAGGGGTTTTAAATATAGATACACTTCAAAGAGGACTGGGGTCATGTATGAGGCAGTACTTGAGTTGTTTCACCTGATTCTCATGTTTGTTGTGTGTGCTTGCATTTGCAGTAGGCTGCAGAGAAGCGTAGTTAGGCTGCAATAAAGGTGAAGTCCCGTATCCCACCCCAGAAAGCAGGTGTCTGGCTGTTCTGGTGACACTGTACATCTTTTCAGGGCTGAGTTTGAAGTGTAGTACTTCAGCCAGATTTGGTATCTTCAACAGAAACAAGGGGCTTTTATTGGAAGAGTAACTCCTGCTTTAAAGCACTTCTGTGCTATTAGTCATTTCTGTAACACTAAGGCATATCAGACATGTTCCTGCATCAGGCTCTCTGTTACCTGGCTGACAGACAGGCATTTCTTATGTTGCTGCTTCTTTCTTATTATGGTTTTTTTACATCAACATCCTATTAGGTGCTATACATCTGTTTTCCTTTTGATAGTCTAACCTCTGTAGCCCTGAAAGGTTCCTGGCTTGAATATGAATTATTTGAAAATACCTTGTGCAATTGGTGCTGGTTATATATATCTCTAACTGCTGGAAAGATTTACTGGCCGGCATGTAGGCGATTGCTTACTCTCCTGTGCTGCTGCCATGTGCATTCTGTAAGAGGTGGTGTCACTTCTAGAGATGCCCGTCTATCCCTCTAATAGCTGAACAGGCTTAGTTCTCAGAGCTGTTCAGCACTTTTTTTGGTAGCCATAGTAATTGGGATTTTTTTTTTTCTACCAGAGATTTTACTTTTGTCCACAAGAAGTCCCAGCTACGTATCCTTGTTTGCAGCCAGTTTGTCGTTTCCAGTGTCAACTATTTCTCTGAGTGACTCCAGGACCGCCCTTACCAGCTCTACGTGGTCTTCCTGTTGATGGCTAAAATTCTGTCGTTTATATGAGGGCAGGTATGCAACACGTGAGAAGGGTGAGACTGTCCCAGGAGAGGGGGAGAAGTGTACGCCTTTCTGAACACAGCTCCGTATTTTTTTTAAGTCCTCAGGATATGCAAGCATTTAGAGATGCCTGGAAGTATTTCTCCAGTTGCTTAGACAGACTTGTCCTGGCTAAAATGTATCAAGTCAAGGTGCCTTTTTCCGGCTATTCCAGTCAGTCTCCAGGATAAGCGTACATCAAATTAACTGGAGAAGCTGATTTTTCCACTAGTTCTGGCCTGAGCACACTGTCATGTTTCTGTGTTAGCTTCTATTTAAAAACATGTATGTATTATTATATATGTCAGTCATGAGCTTGATCAACACTTTTGAATACTAAATAAATCTGTCTCAGATGCTTGGTGACTGCTATGAAAACACTTACTTATTCTACCCCACTCCTTCAGAGGGTGAAGGCCAGACCTGCATCCAGCATCTTCACAGGCTAAAACCACTGAATGGGCTGGATGCTGGTCATGGAATTTCCTGGTACAATGTATTCTGCTGCAGAGCAAGAATCTTTCAGCCAGAGCGATGTACCCGCGCTAAGCAGGAGGGGTTTCCCAGCCTGTGTTCTCCCCCCACAGCACTTCATGGCTACTTTCTTGCCCTGAAGCAAACCAGGTATCCTGAAAGACTCCACTTAGCGTGAAATGGAACAAGCAGCACTACTGTCCTGAACCTTGCAGTATTCCCCCCTGCCTTCATCTGGTGAAATCCCCAAATATAAATGTCTTTTCCCTAAACTTGAGAACAACTTGCACTCCGCTGTCCTTTCGTCCATTAGGGAACTGTAGAGTTGTACCGAGCAGTGCTGGGGTTCTCACTGGAAGCTGCTTGCATCATTTTTCTTGCCTATTAAACATTTTCTACCACATTTCATAGCTATTTCATTAACTAATATGAAGGGGATTCAGTTCATATTTTGAGATACAAATTATCTTCAGGATGACAATAGAAATCTTAATGTTCTGGTCTACTCAAGCTATTATGATGTGATGCTGGCATGAAAATTTTTGGAATCTAGGAATGAAGTTTTACTAGTTAGTTTTGGTTTTCTTGCCTACAATATTATCCTAATACAAGTAATATTGCTGTTGCCTAAGCAGTGGTTTGAGTATTTGGGGTGACGGAGAGAAAAGCTGGCAGAAGTGAAAGCATAAGCAGTGTTGGAAACTGGTCTGCGTTCAAAGTCAGCTGGGGAGGGAAAGTTTTGTGGTTTGGTTTGTCTTTTTTTCCTACTTAGATCAGTTCCTTGCGCAGGTGGCCGTGTGGCCATCTGATAAACTGCCCAAACACTTGGAACCACCAAGGGTGTAGCCGTGGGGCTGGAGGAGGGTAAAACACCGCCTAAGCCAGTATTGCTGCTGAAGAAAGGCTCATCCCACTGTGCAGTAAATATAGCATGTCAGCGTGGGAATAATGCAGAAGAACTGAAAAGAAAGTTATGTGTTGGTTTGTTGTGGGGTGAGTGCGGTAACAGCATTGGCCTGTCGGTGCCGTTTGGGTAAACGGTAGGTAAATAAGTAGTAAATGCGGTGGTTCCGTAAGGGACAGTCATCACCTGAAAACGGGCAAACTTGACTCAGCATGATTCGGTGTTGGGCTTAATTTAGCTTACTGGGAGGCTGCTTCCAGTGAGGCTGTTTGACCAGTTCTCGCACAGAATCTGGGGGCTGTGCAGTTTTATGATGGATGCCTTCCATTTGCTGAGCCACTGAAAGGCCAATTCATTTTGGTTTCTCTTCTCGTTTGTCCTACCCAACAGGAATCTCAGACTCAGCTTCTGGCTGTGTGAGTGCTAGATCAGGCGGAAGGGAAGGGCGAGAACAGGATCGCACCTTCTCATAGTAGCCTCCAGCCAGAAAAGATTGAACCCAGCACAAAATTGCACTTCAGTATTTAGGGACATCTGGGAAGCAACCAAAGCAGCACAGCCTTTAGCTTTCCTTCCTTTGCAGTGGTTCTTAATCTTTTCTTCCTTTTTTGAGTATTTCAAATGTGTCAGCTAACAGAAGCTTCTCTCTGTAATCCCGTTTGTTGTCAAAGGAGCGTCTCGATTGTTCTGCCTAGGAAGTCCCTCGAGGTGGTCAGTGCTTGCTTATCTTGGAAACGTTTTGCTTGAGGTTAAATACAGATACAGATCTCACAGTGAAATGAAATTTCCCCAATGGTTGTCAAACAGATACATGACATCATCGCTTTTAATGCTTCCCGTTGTGCTTTTATTGATGTTTTTATAAATCACTGGAGCAATAACTGGAGTGCAGGCTTCCTTGGTTATTTAAAGCATCATGGATGCTTTAACTTTCCTGTCAGATGTGATATTTGCTTTGTTCCCTGATGTCATTATTCAGATGTTCAGGTACCCGCAGTGGTTGCATGTGCTCCGTCAACAGCTGGAGCTGATGCTGGAGATGCCTTGTGTTTCGGGAGCACCTTGTTTCCCCACAGGACAGTGATACAGAGATTGAGGCGTTCACGAGGAGCGATGACAACATCCAGTGGCCGCACCATGGAATCACATGTACGTCAGCCCGCAGGAATACAGCTTTCTACCAGGAAGACGTCAGTCAATGCTGGCTATATTATCTGTCAGCTTAAACGTGAAACCTCATGGGGTTCTTAGGGCAATACCCACTCTTACAAAGGGGCCATTGGCATCATGGTAGGGAATTTCTTTGATCTTATCTTGTCTAATTCTAGTTGAAAAGTTTAAAAAAAAAAAAATAGCACAAACATGCTTACACAGGGAATGGTCTATGGAAGAAGATGCCGTGCTGCACAGGCATCTCTCCTGGGGAGAGACCAGATGAAGGACAGTTTGCAGAAAAGCCGGCAGGAAAGTGTTCAAATACTTTCATAACTTTTGGCATAACGTATTCCTGGCTTAAAGCCCTGCGGGTATGTTCCCTAATCATTGTTCACGCAATTGTTGTAAACCAACCTAAGGCCTGGCTGTGCCGTCCCGCCTGTCCTCTTCCCCCAGCTGCAGGTCCCACGCCAGCAGTTGTGTCCCTGCAGTTGTGGCTGCAGGAACTCCTGCTTGCCCAACCACCAGGAACGAATTGTTTTCCAAGGTTAAACTGTTCATGGACTCTGTGCGCTGACCCAAGTCACTGCTGACCTTCTGACTAACTCCCCTTCCCCCTCCGCAGGACAACTGCGGGTGGTCGTGTGTGACTGGGCTGGAGGGGACACAGCTGCTACCACAAACCTGGCCCTGGGGAGGTGCAGGGTGGGGCGGTTCCTTCCCGGCCACGTAGGCTGTTGTGATGGGGTGCTGGTGGGAATGGACTCTGTGCGCTGACCCAAGTCACTGCTGACCTTCTGACTAACTCCCCTTCCCCCTCCGCAGGACAACTGCGGGTGGTCGTGTGTGACTGGGCTGGAGGGGACACAGCTGCTACCACAAACCTGGCCCTGGGGAGGTGCAGGGTGGGGCGGTTCCTTCCCGGCCACGTAGGCTGTTGTGATGGGGTGCTGGTGGGACTGTATTTCAAACCTTTAGTGCTTTTATGTGCGGGTGCTTCCCTTCTCCCTTGCAAGTGTAAGCCTCCTGCTCTCCAGTGCAGCGCTTAAACCACCGGCAGCAGGAGTGGGGTGTGCTTGCTGGCGTGGCCCAGGCTGGGGAAGGGCTGCGGGCAGCGCACAGCCCCGCTGGGCAGGCAGGGGACGAGGGGTGTGGGTGGGGGGCTGCTGTGTGCCTGGTGCTGCGCTTCAAATACCTGCCTGGAACCGCTGTTGGGGCTTGTTCTCGGCAGCCTGGAGTATGTCCTTCGTGGCTTTCAGCTAGAAGACCTCAGCAGAAGACTGGAAGAAAAACGGGTCAGCTGTGCTTGCTCCTAACTCTTGCTCCACCAGAAGTCTTTGACGTCTGTGACACACACTGAGGGCTCAAGGAAAGGAATCCTTGGATTCAAACAGCAGCACAGCGGGGCTGTCTGGGCCAGGTGCAGTTTCAGGCCCCTGTTAAAGACCCCCAAGTTTCTTCAAGCCTGAAGACGCTGGCTCATGTTTGCCTGAAGCGCGGGGTGGGGGATTCACGCCTCGGCCAGTGCTACGAGGAGCTCACCCAGAGGTGCGCTTGAAGCTGTCACTTGCAGAGGTCACTGGAATTTCTTGCTCAGCCTTGGAGCGGCCAAGTGAGTTTTTGGGCCAGGATGTCTCCACTCCAGCCTGTCAGTTCTGTGAGACTGGAAATACCCCAGGGAGGGTCCCGAACAGCCCAGCCCCTCTGAACCCAGCCCTTACCCGTTTCTCATCTGCAGGGCCTTGCCCCCGTTTCCCAGCCAGGCACCACCTCCTCCACCAGGGTCTTGTGGCCGTGCTGTGCATGAGGCAACGTGGGTGGCTTACAAGTCACGTTCCTCGGGGTCCTGTTCTGTTGGAGGAACTGATGCTTTTTTTTGACCCAGCTGATCTGCTGTGATGTCTGGACACAAGGGCTGAGACAACAGCAGCAGGTAACTGGATTGCTTTAGCTCTCAGCAGGTTGTGTCTCAGCTGTTGCATTACTTAGAGCGCCCTTCCTTGAACGCCATCATTGCCGTGTCATGCATTTGCTCTGACACAACAGGGTTTCTGACACCACCTCATTTTTCTGTGCTTTCCCTTGGAAGTGTGAGGACTTGTTGATAATGCTTCAAGTTTTCCTGTTTCTGATTTTGACCAGAGCTGTAAAGCAAAACTTAAACCTCCGCAAAGCAAACGCAGTGCCGGAGCGAGGCATGTGGCTGATGCAGCCCAGGTTATTGACAAAGAGTGTGCATTGTCCTCGCTTCTTAACGAGGGAGTGAACCCAGATTGCAGTTCCTCCACCAGAGATGCACTGCAGCAGAACTTTTATAAGGGTTGTGCTGCCATTGCAGGGAAGGAAATGGCTGCTCTTCTGAGGCTGCAGCCTCTGCTCCCGTACATACGTATGTGTGGGTGCGCACCCGTGCATGAACCTGCAGTGGAGGGGTGGTGAAATCAGAGGGAGACTGTGAAAACAGAGCCCTGAGTTTAAGGCCTGAGCATGTCAAAGAGGAATCTTCCCCCCCATGTTAAATGAAAGCCTGGCTAACAATCCCCTTGGTGTGGAGGGAAAAAAAAAAACAACACATTTTTGATACACCTTAAGCATAGTTTAGGAGGCTAAAATGAGGGCAACAAAAATTTAGTTCTAAGAACCAAGTTTGCTTGGGGAAGCAGAGCAGACAGTCCTTTGGGACAAACCAACCTGGGACAGGCAGGAAAGGCACACCAGAAGGAACCCAGAAACGTGAAGCTGCAGCGCAGCCTGAGGTAGCTGCTACTGAGAGTAAAAAAGAAAAAAATTAGGGAAAGTTGCCTCTGTTCTGTAGCTGAGTCCACTTGGCTGGGCAGGCACCCCATGGGCGGGACGCTTCTCCTGGCCCTGCCGGGGAGCCCAGCTCAGCCAGCTCCCTGCCGTCACCAGAGCGGCTGGGGATGACAGGGACTGGAGACCTGCGCAAGTGGCCCAGGTGTTTGTCACCGGTTAAAGGCCAAGGAAAACCAAGCCCCTCGGAGGAAGGACAAGGAAGGGAGGCCTGGAGGGACACCGGCAACCCCACCTGCATGGGCTTTACCTCTAAGAAAAAGTCAGAAAAGCTTTTTGAAAGCTATCATCCTAGTTCTTTGCCTCATCCAGCAGAGATCAAAAGAGCTTTGGAGGGGTGGTTGCTGGTTAAAGCACAGCCATGAAACAGAGAGTTGTGTCTGTTAGGGCTTTAAGCACCCACAAATAAAAGAGGGGGTGTCTCATCCAGCTGCCTTGATGAGTGGCAAAATCTCCTCATGAAATTGCTGCATATGAAGCAAGTCCTGTGGACTGACAGCTCTGGATGTGGTGTTGTCTACACCACTTTGCTTCCTGAGCGTATAGGATTGCTCACTGTTGTTGAGTTTTGAGACCAAATTCAAATTTCCCTGAACCACAGTGTTGTACACATTTTGCTCTTTTTAAGGACTGACATCCTTCCTCAGCTTTTATAGTAGCTTTGAAAGAGACACACGCAACTTTGTTACTGTGAGTAAATTCCCTCCTGTGCAGTAAGAGCTCAGGGGCTGACAACTTTCACTTACCCTTCCACCTCTTGCAACACCTGGACGGTTGCACCCTGGTGCTCCTCCTACAGCTCTTCACTGGATCCTGATGGCTGAGTTCAAACCTGCTGCTGTTGCCCTGGATTGCACAGTGGATTTTTGATGTAAGGAACCCCTAACCCCAACTGTACTGATCTCTCAAGTGTCTTTTCCTGTAAAAATAGGTACAGAAAGTTGAACTCTCTTCACTTCTGCGTTACCTTTCTGTGTGAAGTGCAAGTTCAGGCTGGATATTAGAAAGAACTTCTTCACTGTTAGAGTCGTTAGGCATTGGAACAGGCTCCCCAGGGAGGTGGTGGAGTCACCATCCCTGGAACTGGATCCTGATGGCTGAGTTCAAACCTGCTGCTGTTGCCCTGGATTGCACAGTGGATTTTTGATGTAAGGAACCCCTAACCCCAACTGTACTGATCTCTCAAGTGTCTTTTCCTGTAAAAATAGGTACAGAAAGTTGAACTCTTCACTTCTGCATTACCTTTCTGTGTGAAGTGCAGGTATTTGAGGCAAATCTCCTTCTCGAGAGGTTTAGCCGGAAGCAGCCTGGGAAGAAGTCGGCTGAGGTTTGTACTTCCATGGCAGTCACGTAGAGGTGAACCCTACACCTAAGCAGCCAAACTGAAGTATTTGCTACTGAGGGCAGTTCTGCGTGTTCATGTCCTGATGATTTTGCTTCATGGACCACCAAATATAACGCCAGTAGGTGTTCTGCTTTTTCTCTGAAGTATGTGAAGACCTGCCCCAGGCTGGGCAAGCACAAGTCCTCACTGGGCCACGTCTCCCATTCCAGCAGCAAAGCCAAGCTGCTTCCCAGAGCAGCTGAGTCACAGACATGGGCTCGCTCACTGCTTTTGCCTTACATATTGATTACATTTAATTTTGAGAATTAGCCTTAAATGCAATTAAAGCAAAAGCCAGGACACAAAAATGAGGAAATGCCCATATTCCCGCGTACCTCTAATAGCAGGTCTGTCCTTGCCCTCGGCGGGAGGCTGCGCAATTCTCTAATTACATGCTGTTTACTGCAGGACACACCTCGCTCATTTTGCAGCATGGATGATGCCTGTGGCGAGCAGGCCACTTACCAGTGGTCTTAACTGCTCTGTCTGCCCAGGTCTATAAAGTGCCAAAAACCCCATCATGCAAGCAGCAGGGGACACAAACCTGACCGAACCTGCCCCTGGTGACACAGAGGTCACCGAGCTGTCACAACACGTGGGCTCCTCACAGCAGCGGTATCGTGGAGAGCCTCCCCCTCACACCAGAGGTGATGACTGCCTTCACCCTGGCAAAACATCCCACCCGTCCCACCTCTGGCTGCACTAGAGACCAGCTCCAGCGCCACTTCCAGGCTCATAGCCCTTCATAAAGCCGCATTTATATTGTCTTTTCTTGAGCTCTCTTTAAAAAAGGGTGGGGAGCACTTTTCAACCTCTTCAGTCTTAGGGGAAAAAGTGACTCTCATGCAGGTGATTCTGCAAATGATGGTCATTCAGGAAGGCTGAAATCGCAGCTCCCTAACTTAGAATTCAGAGAAGGGGGACAGAAGGTGGTGAACCGTGAGCAGAACTGAACCTAAAATCCCCCAGGCTATGCTGCACTGAGGGCCTCCCAAGAGATAAAAAATAAATATAAATGATGGCTCATGAAAGCAAGCATGCCTTGCCCTCAGCAGAGAGGAACACTTACTTCAGTCTTAGCCTCTGCTCTGCTAAGGTCTTAGGTGAGGAAGGTGAAGGCCCTAAGGAGAAGCTACGGCTTCTGCTCCTGCCCTTCTCTCAGCACACAGCGGCACAGCCTGCAGAAAACAAGCACCCGACTCTCTCAGGACCAGCTGGATGCTCATGGCCAGCCACCAAAGGCACACGGCCAGGGACCGCTGGAGCCTGCTGCAAGGCCAGAGGCACCTGCGTGTCACAAGCTCTCCCCCTGCAGCAACAGACAAAACTGGCAAGCGCTGAGCTACGGGAAGCCACAGGCCCCATCCTCCCGTGTTTTGCTGGGAGATGCATCACCCCTTCCTTCTGCTCCTTATGAAGGTACCAGGCAACACCACGCAGCCCAGCCTTCCAGTTTCCCTGCGGACAACTGAGACCCCTTCGCTACCCCTTCCTCTGGGTTGAGATTCTAGAAGCTGGCTGCCAAACACCCACAGCTCCCTCCAGCTTCATCAGTCACTTTCGACACAGAACGGCCTTGAACCTTGCTACCTCACAGCTTCTGGGCTTTGCCCTGACACCCGAGGGTTACAGGAAATTGAGAAACTGGTGCTCAGTGCAAGCTGCAAGGACTTGTGAAAGGCCACCTTCCTGAGGGCTAAGCAGCCAGCTTTAACCAGCTCAGACTGGTCAGTGTAGGGTCCAAAATCGTACATATTAATTAGCTGAGGGTAACTAAGGGAAAGAAAAAAAATGGAGTTCTGGAAGTCAAAATTGGGTGCAGTCCTCTTGGTCAGTGTCTGCTGACAACGTATTGCTTGCGGTCAAGAGCCCAGACGTAGGCGTGCCAGCCAGCAGCCTCCACCCTCAGCATGACTTGGCCAAGAAGACCCCAGGGGTTGGGGTCAGGACTCCCACGCGTACTGCTGGAGCACAGACTCCCTGCCTCACCTCTTGGTTCATCTAAACAGCAGGCAAGTGCATCTCTGGGCAGAGTGCCTGCCCTTGTGTTTTCAATAAGAAACAGTTCCACATGCTCCTTCGTCAACCTCCACGTGAAAACACCGGGTTTCTCCTGGCTGGGTCACTGCAGGTATTCCGACCTTCTACGGCAGTGGTCTCCAAAGTGGGGTGTGCAAGACAAGCCAAAGAGAAGACAATGTCCAAAGTGGTACGCAGGAAGTATTTTTTTGTGTAGTTTTAGAAAGTACATATTAGTACAGTAGTGTACGTAATTTATAAATAATTTTGAGGGCACACACTCAAAAATTTTTTACTGATAGCGGGTGTGTGATCAAAAACTGTTTGGAGACCACTGTTCTAAGAAAAGCATGACCTCCAAAGACAGCTTTATACCTTCCATTTTTAAAGACAACACTAGTTCTCCAGAACTCAGGTTAAGGCTGATGTGCAAATGGGCTCAACCACACCTTCCTCTGGTAAGGCCAGCAGCTCCTCAGCATCCCAGGATATATCGGGGTCACCGAGACCACTCCCAGTCCATGGATTGGCATCATCTTGGCACACAGACCCCGCAGGGGTCTGCCCTGGTTCCCCTCGCTATCCTGCAGGAGGACAGGCAGCCTCACACAGCTCGTCTCCGACTCTCCCCGTATCTACGTCAGCAGGCAGAGTAACACCGAGCTTGCCTGCCTTCGACCACACCACTCGCATGCTCAGCCTCCAAAACCTAGCCAGCACTGGTTTAAGAAATCCTCCTGCACAAGGAATCCCCACTAGGCCACCAACCTCTGCTCACAAAGCCCAGAAGTGATGAGCTAAAGGCTTTGGCCCTCCTTTCAACTTCAACTTTGGCTTAAAAGCTGACTTCTGAATTTCTCTGCAGAAATCCACTTTAAAACAAACAAAAAACCCACAAAACAAAAACCAAAAACCCCACAAAACCAAACACCACCACACTATCAAAAGATTAATAACATCAATCTTTATTCCAAACAAGACAGAACTACAGAACACCTGTAATCCTTCTGGTTGTGTTCTATGGAAATCATGAAACACCGGACACACTGACTTACTGTTCAAACTATAACAATCAGGGACAGGATAATGGCACGGCTAAAGTAAGTGTTTCCTCTAAACAAGTGAACTAAAAGTTAAGTTTTTAGGTTTAAAAGTTAACTTTAATTTCTGATGCTTAGCTTTGTCTTCAGGGGTTCCTGCTTAGCAACAAAAGCAAAAAAAATAAGCCTGCTTTAGAACAGCAAGTAGGAATAAACCGAAGATGTAATCGTACAAAGAGGCAATAGTTTAGTACGGTCTCATGCGGCTTGATGGGGGCGGCGCACGATTCGGAGGAGTAATTGCTATATCCAAGTAGTCTCCTATCTGGAATTTCTGAGACTGCAGTGTCATGGAATCATCTGTACCCTTCCTGCCCGACATGGTACTGCCGATCTCCTTCACCCTGCATGCAGGAGAGGAAAGGCAAGTCAGTTATCAGAGGCAAATCTCTCTGGATGTCCAAAACGGGAACCGTATCGGCTCACAACCACCTTCCCGTGCCATCCGTGGCACTGTACTTTGCATTCAGCTACGTACACAGGATGCTGGGGTTTTTCTCTCTAGTACCACGTGTACCAAGAAAATCTACAGCGAATCCTCCTTCTGACGGGGCAGAGGGGTGAAGGAACCTCCTACTGTATTAAGTTAAACACTGGAGAGAACTCCTGGCCCCCTTCCGGACAGAGCCAGACCAAGACCCCAGAGGTGACAGAGCAGGATATGCCCACTGGTTGCTGACAAAGGTCAGCTCACACCGCTTTGGAAGATGGATACCTGCAACAAGATCATGGCTAAAGCTCAAATGCATTCTCAGACACAAGACCTACCACGCTTCCCATCACCATAAACAAAGCTTCCTCTCAAGCCACAGGTCTGTGATCTGGCTGGTTACTGATACAGTGACCAAAGCCTTCAGGCACAGAGGTCCATCGTTTTGGGAACACATTAACAATGGTCACCAACCAAAATTCAGAGTTTGTGGTGATCACCATAGAGTCTGTTATCAAGAACTTCCGAAACTTGGTATGTGAGTTCTGAACTTTAAAAATCAGTGTTAATGAAAAATAATTTACTGCTCCGGTACCTGAAGTCTTCTGTTAACTCAGAGAAGAAACATCACTTACCTATACCCAGGCCTCTTGAGATCTGTAAAAACGATTGCAAAATTGAAGTGTGTGCCCTTCTTCCGCGCTTCTGGGTAAACTTCTTTCACTAAGCTGGTCAGCTCTTTCAGAGTTGCATCCATCCTAGATTAAACAAACCAACCAAAGCCGTTCGTGTTGTCAAAAGCAACAATAAAAACAGCTTCCCAAAACCCATTTAAGAAGGAATCAATATATTGTTACAACTTAACCACACATTTCCTTGCCTTTGCATACTTCTTGTTGATACCTGAAAATGAGCAAGATCTTACACTCTGGCTCCACAGTAAGCCACTGATTACCACCTATGCAACATTCCAAACGATATGTTTTGATCTAATGATCAAGTGACAAGAAGTTGCTCTAGTTATTGATTATAACACCTGGGAGAATTCACCACTTACTGTACACTGGAGGCAACACGGTCTAGTGCAAATGTAGCTTCTCACTGCCTTCCAATTTACTGCGATATTAAGACAAATCTCTTCACCACCATATATGTTTCAACATCTGCTTTTACAGGTCTCTCAGAAGAGCTACCACTTTAAAAAAAAAAAGGCCCCCACTGTTTAAAAATGCATTAATCCATTTCTATAATGAAGCGTGTAAGTGTTTCCTCACCTAAGCTGACATCTATTTAAAATAGTTTCTCGAATATTAGAGGAAACTAAGAGTTTTCCATTTCCATCAAGATTTCCATTTCTGCCCTGACAGGCAGCACTCCTCCTCTTCCCAGCCTTCACCCAGACCAGAGCTAAAGCTCATTTCTAGAATTTCAAGAACAAGAGGACTCAATCATCACAACTAAAACGGCTCTATTTATGCACTGTACACTCACTCCAAGCTTCAAGCAACCATGGAGCAGTGTGCTGACAGACAATGCCCATTCTGACTCGTGCAGATGGCAAACAGCTCAGACACCATCAATAGCCTGGACTGAGTCCGCAAACCCCATTAAGAAGTAAATTAGAACTGCATGCTTTGCTAGCCACAAAAATGGATTTATTCAGCCACACGACACATACAAATTATAACCCTAGCAGACACCTTGAAGGAAAAGTAAGATTTAAAAAGTAGCATAATTCACTTTCGAAGGCATTCTCAAAAATACTATAAACAAAAACTAACATGTCTGCAATGCAGACTAAAGCAGTTCTCCAAACTAAATTTGAAAGCAATAAGCAGCAGCTCTCTCAAAGCACTGCTACGTGACCGTACAAAACCAAACACGTTACTCTCAAGAGGCTCTGACTTAAACAACACACCATTCACAGAGCAGCCCAAGCTTTCTGGGACAACTACTTCTACTGAAAAAACTGGGCAGTTGGAACAAAATTTAAGCGTTAGTTAAAGGAGAACCTCTGTGTTGAGCACATTCGTTGTGATAACCAACGATACGCCACGACACAGGCCTCTGATTCCATGCATCGGTAACCGGGCGATTCAACCGCACCCAGTTTCAGCGGGCGGCCATCAGCACCTCACGTTGTTCTGCCACGGCCCAAGCGGCCGCGGGCAGGAGCGCTCTGTTGCGGCGGCAGCTGCCTTCCCCACAGCGGCGCCCACAGCTCCCCCCATAAAAACTTCTCCACGTTTCCCGCTTTAAACAAGGTTTATCGGCCCCCCTCTGCAGCCGAGTATCAGAGAAGCAGTTCGCGCCACACAAAGCCCCCGGGTCCCGCCGGGCCCCCCTGCCGCAGGCCCCCGGGCCGCCGCCCCGCACTCACCAGGTGTAGATCTGCAGCTCGCTGGAGGGCACGTTGCCGCGGGAGAACTCGTCCATGCGGTGGTGCCGCCCGTTGTTGGTGGTGAAGACGCGAAGCAGCAACGGGCACGTCT